GTAAATTGGTGCAGATCGTCAATTATCTCTGTTTATTATCTTTCCGGAGAGAAACAAACGGTTACGTAACATGGCTCTAACGATAGAGACTGTGACAGTTACGAGATGAACGTATGAATTTCAATTAATACGCTTAATGCTAATGAATGCTTTTACCTTTAGCTGATCGATCAAGACTTATCTCGATCAAGAAAAGTCATTATGAAAACGCAGGGAAGAAAAGGAGAGAAAGGAAGTAGGGCATTGCGCTAAAAAGCCGTCGGAAAATCTGACAAAGGTGAGAATTAATGAACACTGTAAGCCTATTCATTTTAGCTGAACTTCTTGCATAGTTCATCTTTTTTTTCATATTGAAGAGAAAAAGGAAAAAGAGGGAAGGCTATACACACCAGAAATTCATCGAGAAAGGACAGATTTTGTGACAAATGTCAGTTATGAGATGACGAATGTGTGTCAATTAACACGCTTAATGAATGCTTTGGTCCACCTTTATATCAAAACCCATTTCGATTGAGAAAAATTATAATGAAATCGCGGGGGTGGAGAGGAGGAAAGAAGTAGGCGTAGGGCATTGCGCTGAAAACCGTCGGGAAATCTGACGAAGGTGGGAATTAATGAAATTCCGAAGAAGTAATAATGCCCCGTATGCGCGTTCTTCGAGAGCCAGACAAAAATGGGTCAAGCGCGAGAAAATCCGAGCGCAGGATGCGCGTTCATCGCGATCGTATCCGGACAACGTTATGACAATTTTCATCGGCGCTTTACGGCCGACCACGTCACATCGATGTCCGTTTTATTTGGCCGAAATTACGACTTCCCGAGAAGGTGGGCGACGAAGCTGCAATAGAGCGAATTTTACGAGGTGTAACTCAATACAACCGGGAGACTTTCACCCAATGAATTCTGAATAAAACATACGCCATTTCAAATTTCATTGTCTATTTCAATAAATGGATTTTTGTAAGGAAAAAGCAATGTTTCTCTCTTTCTCTTGACTCGACAGGATCAATGTGAACGATATATGGATGACGCGTCAATCGCAGACTCCTGTAATTATGTATTACACGCATCCTGCTTCTCGGCGATCAGGTATAACGTTGCTGTTCTCGGAGAAAACCGAATCGGCGAAAACTTCTCTCGTATACCGTTTCTATGACGACCAAATGGAAAGATATGTTCGATCGACCAAAATGCGACGAAGGGAGAATCCTTAATCTTTCTATCGCAAAGAATGGTGGACCTCTCTGAAAGACTCTTCTCTGAGTTTCCATATGCGTCTATGATAAATGACTCGATAAACAAAAATTATTTGACCAGAACCAGTTTTTTATAAATCTAATGGCATTTTATTATGTCTTCCGCAGTATTTGAAACTGGAAGTTATAGAACGATAAATAGTTGCATTAAATTATAGACTAAAGTTAGTTTGAATTTCATATACATTATCTTATCTTGCTTTTATATAGGTATGTTATCGGACGAATTTTGCGCAGGAGGGAAGCCAGCTGGTGGAAAATTAATTCCCTCCATCGTATTACCGAGAAATCACAGTCGATCGATCCGAAGCGTGGAAGAATTTGTTAATTAAGATTTAAATCATGTCTTAAAGTAGTCCAAGTACCTCTCAATCAAATACTAGAGTATCAAGAGTCATGAATACAGACTGTTATACTGTCGAAAAAACGCATACCTGAGATTTCATCTTACAGAATATCTTTATTTTTAAATCGATTTTATTTTAAATAAATTTCGACCAGACTCTTTAATACAGACTATTCGATAACAAGATTCCGTAAAGCAACATCATTTGCAATTTTAAACCTGACGTTGTTTGCATGATAATACATGATCACGTTGCAAATTATTTCGTGACTTATGTACTAATTTCCGTCAATACTACTCGAGTTACACCAATATATAATTTGAAAACAAAATTATCAAAATTTTAATAGACCTTAAGTGTCTATTATCTTAAAACAAAACGTCACGGCACTTGGAAAAAAGTGTCGTTAATTTATTGCAATTTTAGCAACATTTCTCATTATTTTGAGCAGAATTCTATGTTTTAAAACATTTTTAAACAGAATTCCGACTACTACTTTTTCAAGTTTGGTTTTTTGCATAACAAATGCAGAATTCTTTCTTTATTTTTAAGAAGAACTATAAAATAATGAAAAGAAAATTCTAATGGAACTATCATTATTTTATTTTATATTTTCTTATCAAAATACAAAGAATTCCGCATTTTTTATACTAAAAAATCAAAATTGAAAATATGGCGTGCAAACTTTGCGAATCCAAAACATACACACACGACATTTTTCCTCTAAAGTACAAAAAAAAAGAAAAATATTTTCACTTTTTACTACAGTTAGTATTACACTTTTGTTCCCCTATACCTTTTGTTCTACCTGGAATTCCCTTCGCTCATTCTATTTAACTGTTACTAGAAAGTAACCCAATAAAGAGTGTTACTGTTACAACACACTTTTCCAAATGTCGAAATTGAATTTTCTCTCGATGAGATGGTATATTGCATTTTATATACTTGTAAATACATTTAGAATTGTTATCTGCGATTCACGTTTCATTCGACACCAACTCATACATTAGTCCACTCTTCTACTTTCTCCACGAAATGCATGATATACATAGACAGTAATGCGTAAAGTTATCTCGGTATTTAAGCATTACATGCGCCGTTAAAGCTGGGAAAATTGTCGAAAGTTCTATGAAAATTCCGATCCATTAGTAATGAGGAATATTCTCTTCTACAAATATTTAGAAAACGGAAACGGTTGTAAAACTGATCAAATAGCAATACAAGAAAATCGTGAAACTGGAGTATATCGAGATTTTGACGAGTGTTTCAGAAAGAATGATATTGTGAATAAGCGTAACCATCACCGCTGGCGTGCTTACAAAGAAAGCGCAAACGCCGCGCAACGTATAATTATATGCATATTTGTACGTTCGCAATTTTGACGGCACGCAAAGGTTTCCGCTCCGACTTGGTCACGCGATTGGAAACCAACCCGTGGAATATCCTAACATCAAAGAACATCCGTGCATTCTCTAAATTGCTGCAACATTGTTCGGTAGTTCGGATAAAAATTTAGCCACCCTGAAATTCCCTGAGTCTCGAATCCTGCTCAGTTTTGCGACGAGTGATAGAACGGAGAAGATCTCGTCGAAAATGTACAGAAGACGAGCGGTTGTTGACACTGCGAGAAAAATAATTTCAAACTCGCAATAGAAAATGGAAACGGTTGACACAACTGCGTGCGTCTCGAAGGGTGCGGGCAAAAACAAAGAGGAGGAAGATGAGTCGGAGGAACGCACGACGGGCTGCTTCATCATCGTGCTGGGAAATCAAAACACGAAGGACAAGGCGGTGGAAAAACAAGGAGCTCCGTGGCTCGCGTGCATAACGCGCGACATGAATTAAACATACGCTGTTCACGATCCGAGCGACGGAGGTTGAGGCGAATGCCGAGAAGCGTCGCGTTGACAGGGAGATGAGGGAAGGAATGAAAAGACGACTCGGTGAAATTGAAGTCGGACAAGGGAAAAGACGGAAGCGAAAGGCAGGAGGGGTGCGCGGGGCGTACGCGTTGAAGACTTTCAAGCGTTACTGAGTCGTAGGGTTCTCATCAACGATATCAACTCGCTAGAAAAGAGAGGTACTTCAATTAAACCAAATATATTACTCCAGAGATACGCAAACTGTAGACTTATATCGTCACCACCTTCGATTAAAACCATCAATGTTCTTAATTCGATTTCTATTATATGCGCTCCGAGGGAAGTTCGCAACTCGCGAAGCATCCTATCGACCTCAATATTAGTTACTCGAAGCGCCCATCCCTAACAGGGGTCTGCCCAATGACTGGAAGGACAATAGCTGGAGTTTACGAGGACCGACCTAAAACTTGGCTCCAACATCGAACAGTACACGGAACTCAAAACTCACCCCTGTGAGCGAACGCGTCCGCGTCGACCTCGGTCCTCGCCCGTCATCCAGCCACCACTCTCGCGTGCTCGTTCACCTTCGGCTATCTCCGTTGACGATCGGTCGCGCATAACCCTCTCCAACAAGGTAGATGGGATGACCAGGGAAAGCGACCAGCGGAGAGGGTGCGGTCGAGAATGCGGGAAACGACGAGGCGAGCGGTTACGAGAGCGGATGGTCCGCGGTTTTACTATAGCGATGAGGAATGACAGAGAACTTCCGTAATAGAAAGATGGAAAAAAGAGGAGAAAAGACGTGCACATTTTGATTCCTCTTTTTCATCCCTTTCTCGCTCCCTCTGGCTCGTGAATATAGATGTGCGTTTGTATACAGAGGATAGAGCCGTGACTCCCCCAACGCACCTCAGGCGAGAGGGAGCGCGCAAGTAGGAGAGACGACCACAGTCAGACACGCGTACATCCTTTCACACACACACATACTTATACATAGATACCGCACAAACTCCCACGTATATACATACAGCATCGGCGGAGGGGTCTGGGGTGCACCACCAACGGGTTCCCCGACCGTTCCCCTCCATACGGATTAGGTCCTTCTCGCTCGACCCTTTGGCTGTCCTCTCGCGCTCCTCTCTTTCGCGCGCATGTTTTCCGCGTGCTGGCCCCTCTGACCCACTCGTTGCCGCTCTACTCTCTCGCGCAAACGCTGTGCTCGCATTCTCCCTACCATCTGACGTTCTATCCTCGTTTAGCTCGTACGTTTCTATCTCTTCCTCCTGCATCTCTTACCCCCGCAGAAATATGCTCGGCGTAGCAGCAACGGTGGCGGTGGAGGTGGTGATCGTGGTGATGGTGGTGGTGGTGACGACGACGACGACGACGACGACGACGGCGGCGACGGCGGTGGCGGCAGCGATAGCGGCGGCGGTGTTGCTGCTGGTGGTATGTGTGCGCGCGCGGTGCTGCCTTAACGGCGTATCGGTGCGGACGGTGGCTTTAGACTCGAAGCTGCGGAAGAAGAGCCGCGAGCTCGGCCGTGCTCCGATGGCCTGATACGTACTGCGAGACGCATTCATGAAGCTCCACTGCCCTGACTCGTCGAGTGAGTAGTAGAGTTTGTGACATTTCATTGCTCGGTGCTGAGGTGATGGTCGAGGCAGCGTCGAACCAGCGGGATGACGCGACGGTAGGATAAGGGAGGGAAATACTCGCTGTGTGTCGTACCCCGTCGTGCACTCTCTTTTCTCCCTGGCGGTCGCTCTCCCTTCCTCTCGTAATGCGATCATCCGCGAGAGTGGCCTCTTCGCGGAAACACCGTAGTGAATTGTCTGCTCGACGACGACGACGGTGACCACGGTGACCACGATGACAACTACGACGACGACGAGGACGAGGACGATGACAATGGCAAGCGAGTCCACGTCCTCGAACGACCGCCAGTGGCGCGACACCACCAGGAACGTCGTGCTGCGATCGTCTCTCCTTCGTGGTCGTTAAATCGGCGTGGGTCGATCGAGAGCCGGGGAGAGTAGGGAGAGGAGGAGGCGATTTTTAACCGGCGGAGGGAACGGCGGGAAAGAGAAAGAGAGAGAGAGAGAGTGAGAGAGAGAGTGAGAACGCGCGTTTCCTCCTCGAGGCCGATTAACAGTTGGCCCGAGGGACGCGAAACGATCGAGTCGGTTTCTTCGGTGCGGTTGCGAGCCTCGGCCTCGGCCGAGGCGCAATAAATATCGACCACGGGAGTGGAGGCTTAGCGATGCGAAAAGTGGACCATTCGATCGGGCCACGTCATATCTCCTAGCACCCGGCATCGTCGTCGGAAAGGCGCGAGATGCATTACGATCGTGACATGTGCACGTTCCCGGGGGGATGACTCGTGCGCTTCCAATTGTCAGCGCGCGAAGCCCCCCGGGGGTCAGGTTTGCGCCCAGACTATCGTAGTAGGTCCTTCGCGATTTAGACGGAACGCTGGTGCGGTTGAGGCTGACGTCGGTTCTCGGATTCTGTTGAAAAATGCTGGGGCGGGGGTTGAAGAAACGTTGGTATAAGGATGCGACTATAGCAGCGGTAACGCTACAAAATATAGCATTTCGGAATGTCAGTATATATAGGGAAAATGTATATAATATCAATTCTCTATAGTTCCTGTTATATTGAACTATGACCAACGGTTTATCTATAGTAGTGCTAGAAGTATCAGTAGTAACGTGGATCTCACGGCATTTCAATATGCATATTGATGAACGTTTCGGAATTGCTGATACATGGTAGTACAATGATCCATTTATGGCAGTGCCAACGCAGTGATAGTGTAAGGTGATAGTGCTCATGCGACGCATTGCACTTTTCGGATGTCCTACCGCACTGCTAACACAGTACTAATATATTAAGGTACGTCTACATCTCTCAGTAACCTTTCACCATCATTATTTCTAGCTAAAAATATATGCTTAGCTCAACAAAATATAAACGATAATTATTCATTACAATCAATAAACTGTAAACATAATTTGACCCTTTTTTTTTTAAAGACACGTTAAAATATTCCTGAGTACGTGGAAAATTTTGACAATATAGAAATTGTGTGTGTGCGCGCGATTTATCGCGTTTCATCAGCTTTTCATTGTCCATTATGCCTTATTTGCATGCTGAATATATAGCTTGTTCGTATCGTTTCATATGCCTGGAAATCTAATAATCTGACAGACTGTGTCAAGGCAAATTCGGCCGATTGACATTATGATGTAGTAAATGACAATTAAACCGGTAAATATCCCGCAAACGTCGATCGATTTTTTTTCACTGTGCACGCCTTAATTTGTTAGTATCGATGCGATAACATCGATGGAACGATAATAATTGGGATTTGCGTTATCACGCAATATCAAATGAGCCTGTTTTGGAATCCACCTGTCTGCTGCGTGACTTTTCAAGGGCTGATGATTCATGCTCGATTAAGCGCGCGATCCGTTATTAAGAGAAGATGACTATTAACCGAATTTAGTTTTTGAGATTAAAGATTATACAACACAAAAATCTTAAGCATAAAACGTAAACAGTAAGCAAATCAACGTTTTGGATTTTGCACGAAAAGGACGATTTTTGTGTGTAAAACATCCAAATATTTAGCTAAATATATATCTGAAAATTCTATTGAACTATCAAAATAGCTACATACGATGCTCAAACTGGTTACCAGAATGTCAAAATTTGTCGACATTGCTCATCCTGCTTGTTATTTTGTTGATCTAACAAAATTATTTTTAGATCCGTAGCTAAATTTTCAGATATTCTAACAAAATCGTTTTTATTTTCGTGTACCGTTTACGTCATTGCCGTACGTTCTCTATTGTGATTGACCAATTCGCTTACTGCTTGCATTTTATTGTTTTACGTTTCTCTGTATGTTATGGATTTAAAGACTTCTTCATTTTGTAGTTTATCTCAAAATTAGACTTGTGATAATTGAAGAGAATCGCAGCAGTTATGAATGTAATATCACGATTGTTTACAATTTGAACTCACATATGCGGTGAGAATTATTTTCATGTAATCTATGAAATGCAATCTGTGTTACAGCAACGAGAAAACTGTAACACAGAGGATTAAAATGATTAGGTCTTCATGGCTAATCAAGGTTGCATCTCCTTGCTTACTGAATATCATGAGCAATTCTCAAGAATTCTATTTCACGTTTCACACAAAGATCCACATCACGACTTTATTCGCGAAACAGAAAAAATGACATTTTCTTAATCCTTCTCTAATCACTGTTAGTCTGGAGTTAATAGTGGATCTCTATTTGACCTACACGCTTATATAAATCTTTTTATTAAGAACGTCACGATTAAATTTTCTGTATGTTACATCTGCAAATTTGGATTGTTCTTATTAAAATACACTTAGTCGTTTATTCTTTCTTGTATGAGTTATGTCATTTCGATTTCTTAAAAATGTGCTTTTTTATTAACACAAAATTAAATAAATCTTACAGATGTAGCGTCAGTAACTTTGTTACAGATTTTGGCATCAGCTCTGGAGAGTTAAGAATGAAAATGTACAATAATACGATATTCTAGATCGCTATGTATAAATAAATTAAGTAGGGAAAAGGTGCTAAGACAGCTAAATCTAAGATAATATTTTTAAATGTCTTTCGATTGTAAACTTCACGTCCTTTACTGTCGGATTTAAAACGCAATCATAAAGTAAAATTAAATAATATCAATTAAATTCTACATCGATTTGATAATGATCCTACTACCATTTAAAAACTTGTAAAGAACTTGTCGCAAGAAATATTACTTCAGCCAGGATTAGAATTTCTCGGCCATCCGGAAGAAGTGTCTTTTCTAGTTCAACCTGCACCGAAGCATGTTATTGTAATGTTTATTATATTATTATTATTATTTATCATTAACAAATCAACGATTAATATTATTGTTAGATACTAATTTAATGCCGTATTGGACCTTTTCCTTTACTAATTTGAAAATAAAAACAACTCTATTATAAATTTAATGGTAAGATAAACTACAAGATGAATAAATAAAAACTCGGAATTAGAAAGGCAATTGAAAACAAAATTGATAGCCATCCCTTTAATAACGGACCGTGCACTTAATCAAACATGAAACCTTGAAAAGTCACGTGTAATCGAAACGGAATACGACGATATGATTTAAAAGACACATTATGCAATGATGAAATTGCAGCTTCACGATTCTACGATCGACTCAAGCAGCTCGATTGCTGCTTTCACTGGCGTGGAGTTGCGCGCGGTATGAAAATTCAATTAAAATTTCAATCTATCGTAGCTATTGTTCCGCAAGGCGCGAGATTGGACGCTTTCGGCTGATTGTAAGTCCTGATTTCGTCGTTTTATTTACCGACATGGCATCGCATGGCGACCCGGGAGACGTGGACTAGAATTGCGTCGTCTCCACGGAACCGTTCGTTCAATCAATTTTGGGGCTATTTCGGAGTATAACATCCCGCCCCCGGGTTTGTTACTTGGACAAACTGACCGATTATATCGAGTCTGGCGGAAACAAAGGATACAGACTGTATTAGTTTTTATTCGTTTTGTCTGTCATGTCGCATGTAGTATTATACAGGATGTGCGTACTTCGGAATTATACCATATACACGATAAATTATAAATGGTTTTGACGAGAAAAAAAAAACAGTAAACAATTCGCCAACGCGACTTCTCTTGAATTCGTACTATATAACTATGAAATGGCAATCCGAGTATCTGAGAATTCAAGGAAAATTTAAGTACTCCAGAATTCGCCAAATCCAGAAGAGCCAACAATTTTACTCCTCTTTTCACAATTGAAAAGGGTTAATGCCGCGCACGCTTTCTCCGTGTTTGCTGAATGTCCCGCGTCTGAATAGGAAACAAGGAAATTCGTTATCGGCCGCACAAAGCTTCTCGGGAGAACGAGTCCCGTCGAGAGAGAATTCCGCGAGAGTTAATCCCATAGAAAGGCGAGCTTAGTGTCGCTTCCCTTGGAATTTTATGACGGCCTTCTTCCAAGACGGTGATTTCTCCTCCTACTGATATTACTTATTCGAGCTTTTCTTGGAATTGGCTCCAAGAGCACTATTTTTCCAGATTTTCCCCTCACGCACTTTCTACGACGTGTTGCGAATGTTACGATAATCCGTATAAAACTTGAGAGCGACATTTATCACCTCGCTGATGTGGCGATTGTGGAAATACGGAACAACGGATATGCAAAATATATCACGATTAAAAATATAGAATGAAATGGATATCTCCTCTTTTCATGTACTGCCAGAATCTGTCGCACATTGTTCGCTTGTTTATTTAAAAACCAACTCTACACATGATATATGTATGACAACATTGGCCAATGTGATATCGTACGTATGTATTTTATATGGTCAATTTACATCACGCACACTGCCAGCATTGGTATTCGCCGACACTTATGATGGTGATTTTTGTGAAAATGTATTTAAAAATGCTCAACGATATACGTTAGCTCGATTTAGGTAATTGGACATGTTTGCCAAGTAAATTTACAGGTACGCTGTTTAGTTATTTAAAGCGATTTTGCGAAGAAACATCGACACTCGATAATATACTGCATTTCGAAAAGTATACAGCAAATGTTAAATATACTTTAAAAAACATTCACGCACGCACTCATATACTTAGACATTCTTTCATTAACCTACAAAATAACTAATTAGGTTTTTCGTCGAATAAATCAATTAATTTATGAACAATTGGTATCAAAACATGAGATACACAATTCACCACGTGCGTTGTCCGATAGAGTTATCTCTCTAATAGAGCAACACTAATAAACGGCTTATTGGATTTCATATGTGGTATCAGTTATCGGTGACTCAAAATAACGAAGTTGCACCATCAATTTAAAGGAAGGGGTAACGCAAAGATTAAAATAAACGCGAGATTACGTATAATATAAATGCAGATAAAATAAATCCCGATGCGCGCGAATCAAAGTAATGACGGGATAAAATTCGGATACGAGCAGCCACTTCGACTTAATGATGCGTTACACGGATTATTTACGGACAAAATGAGAAAATGAGACCATTGTAATCCCAGCCGGTAGCCGAGGGTTAACGATACGCGACGAGGGACACCGCCATCCCCCACGCGTGCTTAATTGATTTCCTGTAGTCGCTGAAAACTCGCCTGTAATTGAGCAGGACATTAATAACTCTGCGCATTGAATAATTCGTAGAAACGTACGTTCCCAAAGTCTCAGGACATGCCGGAGGACTTATCGATTTCAGATTAACACGTAAATTGGCAGGCGAAGAGAGGGTGCAGACTCGGCGAGGATGCAGGGGAGAAACGTGCTTTCGCCCACGCATCCGCTGTCCCCAGGTCATTTGAGGATTCATTTTGATATTCTGGCTATTCCTCTCCTTTCTATTATATATCAAGCGTTTTCCAATCGGAATTCAGTCTTCTCGTTTTGTCCGTACTTCTATCTCTCACTCTCTGTCTCGAATTATACTTTTCTAAAAGAGTTTTCTCAAATTTCTCGTTCGTTTGCGACTTCCTCAAGTATTGTCGATACTGCCTTTAAGACCGAGTCCGATTTTAATCTCGGGAAGTAAGACGAAGCGAAAGTTTCGTAACAGATGCCGTAAAATGACCAACTTAACAACTTGTTTCGTCGAAAACGGGAAAAATTCGACAGTCAGCATGTTGAAAGAAGAAGTACGATGGAACAAGTTGGAGCGACTTCGAAACGCAAGTTTAAATAATTTCAAAAGTTGAAATATCAGTATGGTGTTGCATGACTCAATGACTTGTGTGTATCCTATTTCCTTCCCCGCCCCCCCCCTCCTCTCCTATATTTCTCCCACACGCCTTCTCTTTAAGCTAGATGAGAACACTACCCCCATTATCGCCAGTCGAATAGGTTCGGGTTCATCAACCCGAGATACATCGATATATCGACGGCGGCTTTATCTGACTGCTAGACTACACCTGATCACACATGCACAAAGCCATCTCCATTTTCAGGACGATACTCGGTTTTTCATCACGTCACAGCCTTGATGGCGATTTGCGTTGACCTTGCGTTTTGTTCGGGAGATCAGTCGGATGGTAACGCGATATCATAAGTAACACGATGCCATCGGTAACACGATATAGCGTCATAGCGTCATTTTTAACAGCGAAACTTTGAGTTTGTGTCGTTTCCGCGAATCATTCGCGTTTCGCCATAAAAACTTACGGACGACCTGTATTGACGTACTTTTAGCGCTGAACGTGATAGAGCCCGACCCTTTTTTTCCTTACAAGTAGAAGACCTTCTCTCTCTTATCTTGACGCGCAAATCTCCCGTCTAGAAGTTCCGTTTCCGTTCAAAAAAAGTCGACCACATAAAGCCCAGATTATATCTTGTCTTATGAATTTCCCGATGGTAGAGCTGGGAAATGTTTTCCGGATTTACGAGAAACACTGCGGGAGGATTTTTATTCGACTATGAGAAAACGGCGGATATAATAAAGTAAATCTTCATCCGCAACCTGAAACAACGCACACAGAAGGGAAACGTTTATATCGTCGAACCGGCGCATTTTGCCGTTTGCCGTTTATTATCGTCGCAGTTTGTTGCATGAGCACGATGCGGAACCGCGGAAGCTGAAAGGCGGAAGTAGCATGAATCCTAGTAAAGTGGCCAGGTTTTCTTTTATTCGAGCTAAATAATCTGTCCGAAGATGCTTTTATCTATCTAACGGCTTTATATACATATGTATATATGTATCTCATACGGATTGTGTAATTGTGTATCTCATATAGATTGCCGCAGACGTGAGAAACACATAAATCGATGCTTACGAAGTTAAAACGTAATATTCGACAAAGGCTTTGTTATTTATTATTATATCAATAATTAGCGTGTCAATTAAATTTCTGCTGGCTTTCCAGTATAAAAGATAAAAAAATTATTTGGAATTATAATTTATGAGCTTTCGAATTTATGTAATTCATTAATTCTTCACTGGCAATGTTTTCATCCTCTGAAATTTTTATCTTCCGTCATTCTGCAATTTCAGTCTCTGAATTTCAGTACAGATTTTTATATATTGTTTCGGGCTATAATGGCTGTATAAAACTCTGAAAAAATCTTACAAACTTGTGAATACTTTTACAATAAAGTTTTACTATCGTAGAAGAGATTTTTTGAGTATGTTAAGTTAGCACCCCAACTATAGTACTCAGGAGTTCTGATTAGAGTTCCCACTCCACGAGACGAAGAGTTCCCTATAGTTAATAACAAGAGTTCCGCTCAATAAACATTTTTTTTACATTTTTTAAAAATGGGGTGCTAACTTTTTATCGAATTTCGAGGTGGAATAGTTCTGAGCGACTTAATAGCTTCAATTTGCGATTGCCTAGAGTTCCTGATATGTAAAAAAAATTTTCGAATATTAAAAAAAAATTAAAAATTTTTGAAAAATTAATTTTTAGATACAATAGTTCTGATGATAATTTCTGCTTTTTTTTGACGATACGAAGAGTTCTCTATGATTTTTAATGACATATGCGCTTAATAATCATTTTTTAATAATTTTTTAAAAATGGGGTGCTAACTTTTTAACGAAATTCAAGGTCGCATAGTTCTGATCAGCTTAACAGAACTACTTTGTGAATACCTACAGTTCTTGATACATAAAAAACATTTTTGAAAAATAATAAAGTTTTTAAAAAAAATAGTAGAAATCTTTGACCATTTTTTTGAGAGTACCGAGTAGTTCTGAGTAGCGTTTCTTATAGTACTCGACGAGTTCTATCGAAAACTGTCAGGTGAAAAAACGATTAGACCAATGGTTTGTAAGATACAGCGACATTTGTTAAATTTGTAAGATCATACAATTTTTAAATAAGTATATCTCAGAAACCGTTGGTCCAATCGCTTTGAGCCCTGATACTGACCTTTCGACAGAACTCGCCGAGAATTGTCCAGAACTCCGATCAGAACTACTCGGTACTCCCAAAAAATTTTGACTTAGACCTATTTAAAAACAGTTTGTTTATAATCACTCTAAAATGTTTGTTAGTTCTTATCTTATTGTTAGTTCAAATCTTATAAATAGCTTATAATTCTAAGTCATTTCAATTCACTTTCCCATAAATGTTAGAAAGTCAATTGTACAGAGATGTTGGATCAATCAATGCCAATGACATTCGGCAAATATATAGTCATCAACGGCAATTGTAAAAATAACTTACGTAAATGTGCCTTAATATACGTACGAATGTTTCTGTTTCTACGAGTTAGATGTCTGATATTTCTGTCCACTTTTCTTAATCCGATGTGCTTTGATAAATAATGAGAGCGGCACGTTCTCATCGGAGGAAGCGTATCAAAAGACAAAGCATTAAAAATTGAACGAACTATAGAGATGTACCAGAAAAGTAGCTATTTTAGATTGTCGAGTAGACGTTCCTAAAATTTTAAGATTCAAATTCGTAGGTACAAGTACCGCGAAAGAATTAAAATCTGATAATGTAAAAAAAATCGATCTGAGAATATACGTTACACAAAATCTTATTTCTGAATAACTTGCAAAAACTGTTACTTAATTGGAGAATATGTACGATTTTATTTGTAGAATATTCTTGTAGTCTAATTGTATACGCGTCAAACGCGAGGGTGTCTTGTATACGCGTAAACGAGAAACATGAATAATTAAGTGGAAAGATAGACATAAGCGTTTTAAATTATGTATAGCTTTTCTTTAAAGTAGAGAACGTGGAAATTTCACTTAAAAATCACGACTTTTAAAACAGAATTTCTCATTTTTACATCAATGTTATATCTTTATATGCGGTATTGGAATAAAAAGTTTTTTTTTTACAAATTTAATTTATAATTCACTCAGTATGTCTATATACTCTGTTATGTCTGTTGGCGGATATTCATAGTTCGTTCTTATTTCAAGACTGTCTTAAGTAATGTCTTAAGATGCTATAATACGACTGTTCGGTTGGTTCATGACATTTTAAGATTTAGACACTTAACTTACAGTCTTAAATATCAGAATCGATTGTGAATATCAACCCTACATCCGAAACAAGATGATGAAGAAGGACAATTTACGGGATGTTTCAGTGGACGTGCGGGGGTGACTGGAGTGATGGGATGGGGCCAGAGCCCCATGGAGTTCGGGTAGACCCGTCTCCGGCCCAGCTCCCCAGCCCCCTCCGCCATCGATATCGACACCGCTCCTGCCAACGACGCAGAGGGCCGCCTCGATCGCGATGGAGGCCTCTAGCAATCAACAACAAAAAGAGAAGGAGCCACGCGTTTACAGGCCTCACGCCTTCGACAAGGTACATTCTTTTCTCGCGCGAATAAATCATTTCCCGTTCGCGAACGTAATAGCTGCATTCAGCAGAAAAAGCAACTGTTGTAAAATTCTTTAACGATTTAGGTTTATATGTTTGGATCCAGTGGGGAACTAATGTAGGGGAAAAAACCCATTATTAAAGAATTGTGTGACAGTTGCATTGCTTTTTCTGCTGAATACAGCCAATGATTAAACGTTCCTAACGAACCGTAATAATAATCGTTATTCGCCGCGTTGGCGCAGATGGAGGGGCTGGTGCGGGAGATGCAAGACCCTGAGAGCGGGGTACCCGTGCGCAGCCAAAAACAATTTCTCACCTCGATCCCTTCAGCGTTCATGGGTGAGTGCCATCGGTACCTGCGTTGTGGAATAAACGTAAGCGGCCATCACGGCCAGGACACTACAGTAGGCTGCCTGCGTGTTGCAGGTTACGACCTCATCGAGTGGCTGATGGAGCGGCTTGCCATCGAAGAATCAGGTACGGGCTCGTATGTCTACTACCGATCGTTGCCGGCTGCTCTCCGCTGCTGTGCCGTTCTGTGGTTCTGTCCCTCGCTCGCTCGCTCGGCTCGGTGTCCCTCCCTTCCCCCCAACACGCGCAACCACAACGCTCTGCCTGAGGATGCTAACGACACTATCGATATAGTTTCGCTTCACAGTATCCATTTGCATCGATACTTTTCGCTTGGTGCCTTTAAAGAGTATCGATTACATATACTAACACGTCACACTATACAGAATATTCTTTTTTGTTCACAAATCGAATATGAATTATTTATACTGCTGTTATTGAAAAGATGAGAGATTAATGCTGAGAGAACTCGCGAATTTACAGCTGAGAAACGGTAAATATTCTCGCGGATTTCCTGGATTTCGTTCAGTTTTTTCTCGCCCCGTGCAAATGAAGACCATAAATTACACTCCCGTTCCGTCGCGAAGCGAGCGTAATTCGTGTCAAATGCATTTAGAGAATAAATGTCTTCGTAACTCAGAGAAATTCGCGGATAGTATTTATGAAAATACCGATGGATCGATATTTATATAATTTAATTAACTCAAAAAAATCACATTAATCATTCGTTATTAATCACTTGGAGGGAGAGGGAGAAAGAAAGAGAATGAAAAGGAGAGCGAGCTGGTGTCCTATGCGAAGAAAGGTCTTCAGAGCAACACACACACAATCAATTTCCTAAAAATAACAAAAAGTAAAATTTATTGTGGGCATTTCTCGACGTACGTCCGCTAGAAAAACTGTACGAACAGACAACCAAAATACGACACAGAGCAATATGGCATCGTTTGAGTGATCTGCACGACCCTAAGCAACACTAAGCGATCCTTAGAGACACTTCTGTCGATATAAGCGTTTCTTCAGATATCAAGATGCATTATTGTGTTTGACAGTAGAGGCGGTCCATATTGCTAATCAACTATGCCAGTATGGCTACTTCTTCCCGGTGAATGACTCCAAGACACTTACTGTTAAGGACGATAGCTCTCTGTATAGGTTTCAGGTGAGTCTTCCGTATATTCAAAAGTAACGAAAGAGTATAAAATATCCAATTTATCCAAAATCTTTTATTAATTCTCATATGAAAAATTGATGACACGTAGACACCCTATTATTGGCCGTGGCAACATAGAACCCCCGACAACGTGGAGTACGCGATCTATCTGGCTAAACGAACTCTGAGAAACAAACAACGTCACGCTCTCGAAGACTATGAGATCGTACGTAAATTCACGTTGTCAACATGATAAAACGCGTCGAAAAAATTCATTTAAACACTCTTTTTCGTAAACGAAAATCGTACTATTTCTTTAGGAAGCTCTGAACAGCCTGCGTAAGAACTTGCAGAACAAATGGGACATAATACAACTACAAGCGGAAGAACAGGTGAATAACTATCCGTTATTGTAGCACTTAATTTTCAACAGTATACCGCAAGTATACAACTATATTGTCCCACGTAAATACCAATTTCGCATATTCGAACACGTGACTCCTTGAAATGCTGCTGATTATGTGGGCTCAGGTACGCTTATCTAAGGAGCGCAAGAAAGGCGACAAGATAGTGAGCGATTCGCAGGAACGAGCATTTTGGAGAGTATATCGGCCACCACCTGGTTGTCTCAGTAGCCTGGAAGCCGTGCCCATACCCACTCGTTTTCGTCCTGGACTTCCACGACCTCCGTCACGTAAACGCACTCTTACCGATCTGCAACGTGAGGTGAGTGCCAATCTATACCGATTGACATTCCCACTGTTTCAAATCTTCGATTTATATTCGTACATATATAATTTGAACAGGTGGCCCTTCTACGGAACAGTTTGATACGCACGAGGATAAAAGTTTCGACTGCGATCGAAAATTTAAAATCATATTTCGAAACGTACGTAGAATACGATCCAATGTTCGTACAGCCGCAACCTTCCAATCCATGGGTCACCGACGATCATATGTTTTGGCAACTGAATAGTAGTTTGTAAGTAATGAAAATCGGATACCTCATCTATATGCAACGCGGCAAATTTGATAATATACTTTATATGCATATCTAGAGTGGATGTTCCTACGGAAAAACGCGTTAAACGATGGGCGTTGTCGATGGAAGAACTTATGTCTGATCCTACAGGTAAAACTTTTCAATCGCATTAATATAAAGCATAGTTAATTCTGCTAGCGAACTCACAAGCACTATTCTGCCGCAACAGGTTTACAAGAATTCACGAATTATTTAAGAAAGGAGTACAGTCACGAGAATATCAGATTTTGGTTGGCGGTGAAAGATCTCAGGCATAGTTTTCAAGCACAAATACCTGACAAAGTCAACGAAATTTTTAGGTACGCATTGAGTTTACATGTTACGCTATTTCGATCTGTAAAAAAATAATCTAATCGTAACATTCGGTAATTCACACAGAGAATTCCTGGCACCTGGAGCTCCGTGCGAAATCAACATAGATGGGAAAACGATGGAGAAGATTCATCAGGAAATGAAAAATCCGAGCAGATTTACGTTTGATTCCGCCGCGGAACATGTATATACGCTACTGCTAAAGAAGGACTGCTACCCTAGATTTATTCGTTCCGATCAATATCGTAATCTCTTAGCTGCCGGCGTGCAACCTCTGCAGAAGAAGAGGTGAGTCTCTCATCAAATTATACGGAAAGAACGATCTTGCTGATCGTATCTAAAAATTTATGTAACTGGATACAAATCTGAATGTAAATTTGTTGTAATTACGTATTTTAAGATGTAATTATGTATTTACGATCCAACAAAATTATTCAGATTTAACTCAACTTTTGGACACTTCAGCAAAATCTTTCCGTGTACGTGTGGTGTTTAAGACCATTCTACAATTGCGTAAGCGTAGGTGGAAGTAATTGAGTGTAGTTGTAAGAATTGATCGATCATAATATGAAGAAAATATTCGATTGTGATTAGTCAATTCTTATGACTACATCAATCACTTACAACCACGTTTATGCAATTATAAAATGGGCTTTAGTCGCAAGATACATGCATCGAAGAGCCTCGTTTGTTTTTCCAGATTTTTCGGCTTCGGCGGCCAAATCAAAAAGAAAGTTTCCTCCACTTCGACACCAACGTCTAGTACTTTGCAGCACGCTAACATAGGTGGTGGCGGCGGCAGACGAAGAGGAAGCGACCGGAGTCTGTCTGGAAGCGCCCACGAGCTCGCGGTGTGCGGCGTCCGTGACGTCACTTCCACGCCGCGAGTTCCGCACTCCCACAGCCAGTCGAATCTCACCGACATCCCATACAGGTATGCGGGGGTTGGGGGGCCCGAGCGTGGTTCCCAAGAGAGTATATCTGCCCTATGTTGTTCGGCGAGATACGGCTATTCTTGCGCTTTTAGCATGTTATCCATACGCGCGATATCGGGTGGTCGTGGCCGATGATAGGCTTATTCGTGCGCGTCGTATTTTCAGGGGAGATCTACCACGACTCGTAAAGATACCTTCGAGGCCTAGTCCACGTAGTATTCAGTAAGTCACCCCCGATACATACCACGGTTTTCTCAATTAAGTGTAGGAGCGAACGGCGAGCGCGGAACGCAAACAACTATAGAGACCCTCTAATAAGAGTCTGGACATTAGCCGTAGTTTCATATCTAGGATAGTCATTTTTCAAAAAGTCGTCGAGGAAGAAGAAAGACATATATTTGTTCTCTTTCTTATTCTATTTTATCTTTTTCCTATATACTTTTCTCTTTCTCTCTCAGGAATTGTTAAGATATGGCAGTTCAATCGAAAGTCCTGTCTTCTCATGTCCAGATTTTCATTAGAGGGTCTCTATAAAGAACTTGCTACTTACGTTCCTTTCGTGTTCCTGTGCCGCGTGCCAGCTCTCGCGTATTTCAAAATAACGATCGAGCAATAAAAAGCCCGGTCCGAGATACACGAAGGGAGGGCAGTACGAGTTATTAACGCGCTCCGTTGCACCGTGTGCTCCACTGTACCTTCGTATCAGACTTTGGCAAGACCCTCTTACCTCGGTGTGTTTGAAAACTCTCGCACTCTCTCTCTCTCAAAGAAATTATTTTATAAAAAGCTCACCAAAATGTGTGTAAAGCGTGTATCGTTGATAATAGTATTGTGCCCGTTCCTATAATAAATTTCAGTGTTTCTGAATACTATCAAATACTATCCTACGCGGAATGTCTCAAAAACACTTTTAAATCATATTTTTTTGATACAAACAAGAAAACAAAGAAAAAACAATTCTTATTGACCTATTATTGTATTTTGAGACACTCTGTATAATTGTCTTGATGTCGATATTGTGTCGTCCGTATCAAGCTTACTATACCTCTATGTACTCATATATATATATCTCTCTGTAATATTTTATGTAACACATTACGTACGATACTTGTCGAGCACATTATTTGCACAGCAAGGAAAGTATGTACCAACTCTTTTCACGTTATAAATTTCTTTTTATGATTTACGTTTTCCATGCACGAAAAAAAAACGGTTTTGCTGAAGTAGCTAAAAATTTAGCTAGATACCGGTCTGAAAATGATGTTATTGGTCCATCAAAATAATTATGCAAAACGCTTAAACATTAATTACAATGCAAACAGTTTTAACGTGCTAGCTAAATTTGCAATTTTTTAGCGTTCTATACGTTATTTGAAGCATCCAAACAAAATTATTTTCAAAATTATTTTCACATCTACATCTAAACTAAATTTTTAGATCAAAACCATTCTTTTCGTGTAAATGTTTTTCCAGTGTTAAAACCCTGCGATTACTCGAACTCGCGACAAAGATTCTGAAGATTGAAACGATCCCATGACAGAACAAATCGCTAGAACGTCCCTTACAGGACGCTCCGGAATTATTCATCTTTGCTCCGCTACTTTTCAAGCGAGAATAATTCTGGGAGATCCTTGTAACATTTCTATGTATAAAGACTTACATTTTCCCTAGTCGTTGAATGGAGTCGCATGCATGTAATCGACTGACGTTGACAAAAGACACATACATATATACGCAGAACACACGAAACACGCACACGAAGCGCGTGGTACCTTTTACCGAAAGCAAACGGTGAAAACTAAATATAATAAAGTTCCTGTTGTCAGGGATGCTGGCGCGACGGAAGTGGCAGTTCGCCCTATGGACGACGTGTGTCCGTGGGAGGCCGTGCCGGGCCCGAGCACGGAGCACGGAGCAACGGGAGACGCCGTGTCCTCTGGAAGGACAGTGTCAGCTGATCAGGCCCGACACGTATGGGACAGTGGCGGCCACGCGACGACCGCACACTCCGCCGAGGCGCGGACCTCCCGCAAGAATTCGGCACAGTTGGACTCCTGTAGCTCGTCGTCGGACGTCAGCCTTGCTATCGCGGACGTCTCCGAACGGTTGCGGAAGTCGTGTAGTTTGCAGCATAGCGGTAGCATAGGTCGGTATACAATTGAGCAACTCATTGGATGCGTCAATCAACATAATGATTGAGTGAGCGCAGTAATTGTTACCAGCGTTTGAAGTTGGTTAGGATTGTTGCTTTTAACAATAACGCGAATAGTGGAAAAGTGAATTCAAATCTTCGAAGTCAATTTGAACTGTCAAAGTTACCTTCGAAATTTCGAAAAATATACTTGTGCAATTAAAAAAAGTTAAAATATATTCCTAATATATATTCTAATCTATGAAATTATATATTCATCATTAACTACTAACACTAAATTATTAATTAATATAATTAATAGTTCTTGAAGCAAATCATCAACCGTAGATCTTTAAATCCATATGATAAATCTAGAAAAGTATATCAATAGCAGCGAGTGCTCATTCAATCGTTGTGTTCGCTGAACGCACTCAATAAGAAAGAAGACATCGCACGAAAGGTACAGTTTATCTCTAAATATCGTCTCCTCTGCTGTTTTTTAAACGCTCAGGTACGTCGACTTCAGGCACGATGATGACGCGAAATTATTCTACCTGCTCAGCGAGCGGTCGTATCAGGCTAGCCGAGATAGGTCGTATATCCGTGTCGTCCTGCAACTATCCGTCGCCCCAACAGTCATTCGAGTACTCCCACGCGGTGGTCGAAAAGGTGGAAGAGAGATCGTCCCTGGAGAAGATCGTGCCCGAGGAGGAAACTGTCGCAGAAGCCGTCGTCGTCAAGGAGAGCCAGCCGAGTCCTAAGTAAGTTACTCGCGATCTTCGGTAATCTGGAGACTACGATCGAGAGAAAATAAAAACAAAATCACGTTGTTCTGTTACGGCAGAACGAGCGCGAAGGCGCCCTTGATCAGCATCAGCGCGATCGTAGGCGATCTACCGAGTGACAATTCCACGATGGAGAACGCCGACGAGGACGCGAGCGAAAGCTGCACGGCAAAGGACGCGGGGGAGATCGTCGCCGAGGAGAAAACAAAAGGCGAGGACTCGCGGGCCGATACCGGGGCGGACGTGTCGCCGGTGGCCGAGGAACCGGCGACGACCGAGGTGCTGCCCGAGGAGGCGCAGGTCGTGCCTGTCTGGGAACCGGACGCCCAACAGGAGGACCGACCAGCGACGGCGCAGGCAGAGTCTCGGGAGAAGCGTGACAATAATGTTAACGAAGTATGCCCGTGGGAGGACGAGTAAGTACCTGACCCGACACCTAAACCGCTTACGCTTGCTGTCGCGACGATCGCTTCCAAAAGTTTCTCTCACCGTACTCAAGTAATAACCTCGTAATAATGTTCTTATTCGTACGGAGCGCTCACTGTCTGTTTCAGGGAAAACTGTAGAGTGGATGCACCCTATGTAAAAACATATGCGACTTTAGGTTACTTGTAATTTGTCGTTGATATTAAATCTTGCATTTTACATTTACAACATTCACAAATTCGATTTCCACTTTAATCCACTTTACTGAGCTCGCGTGTCCAGACCCTTGCGCGACGAAGCTCCGGTCGCTTCCTTCATTAAGCAAAGACACAAAGCATCTTTTGAGAGCAAAGTTTTACTTACGCGGAAGGATTTAATAAGAGACGAGTGCACTCGCTCGCAGTCACACGAGTCACTACCGATAGTATTTGTAAGTACTGCAGACGGATTTTCACGATATTGCGCATCTGTAATTACGAAATTGCGTGCAATGATAAGATTGTGAACAGTTCGTTCGATAGAATCGATAACGCGAAAATATGTATATGTCGCGAGACGAAAAACGAGCATCGACGTCTAGTCTCTATAACTTTGCATCGAGTAACTATATTTATATTGTTTGAAGTATGGCCTAATAACGATTAGATTCGTCCGCTCGATTTTACCAGAATCCGTGACGGATTCGTTTAAATCGACGCACGATATTAGTGGGTCGACTAGAGAGCTCTTTCGTCCTTTCCTATTGCTATAGTAGTCTCTATAGAGCTACTCGATCTCTATTGTTTGTATCATCGCATCGTCGGTATACGTGAGTAATATTGCAAAAATGCGCAAGAATTACTTGTGAAGGAAAGGGATTGGGCGTTATTGTTTAAAGATTAGAGTGCAATCTCCAATGTTGTTCGTAGATTTACGTAGATTAATGTATAGACTAGCAACCTAGAAGATGTGACAAGTAGCGATATAGATCGTGTCCCTCTCTCTTTCTCTGTGTTGAGTAAAAGTTTCAACGGCGACGTGTTGCCGAGCAAAGGTAGTAAAGTAAATTCGAGTGCGCGGATTGGGAACTCGTTATCCTCAGTTCGTATCACGTGCAAACGCACGCTCGTAGAGTGCCAGCCAAACACGAGCCATTTGGCCGCTCTCCATGGTCGCGCTTTTCCCGGATACTCACTTTTCCGCGAGTCACATCTCGCGAAACTTTACGTTCCGATATCCCCAAAGTCTACGTTACAGAACGCGTTTTCACCCTTAGAGACGTAAGTCGTTCTCTAATTTATCGGACTCTCTGCGATTGACGATGTTGTCATGATGACATCGCAATTATTCTTCAAAGTATCTTGTTTACTCCCGCGGCGAGATATACATTTTGCATCCCAATACGCGGCGCGTAACATTATTTAAGTGCACGTCTCCGTCTTATTTATTAGATTAATCGCCTAGAGTTAGCGTGTCTTACGCAGTGTCTTACGAGCGTTCGATATTAATTATTGACAAATTATCGTGACCTGATATATCTTAAGTCTATTTCATGTTATATAGCTCGCCATTTGTCGTAATCGCATCGAGTTGATTAATCGATGGCGATTACGGTGATTTTATGGCGTTTCACTCGTTGAGCCTCGCTTAAGCGAGTCGCGAATTAATGATTAAAAAAAAAAGAATAAAAAACATTCGCGCGAATCTAAATAATAATGATGTCGGAATAATGACCGTTGATATCGGATCTCTGATTCTGTTACTGCCCCAGGATCTCCGATCCGACGCTGAAGATCGAAGGAGAGGCTAGTTAATAATTAAATGCAATTGTGCTCTTATCTGTATTTTATCGGTGTTTTTTCGTGTGTAGCTTTAAGATTAAAATGACATGATAATTACACTATAATAATTACCGACGACATGCTTGTCTCGCGTTCAATCACGAGCATTACGACGATTCTGACGGCCAAATCCTCGTTTTTTTTTTTTCTCAACGAGAGGAAAGGGTAATTTAACTGACAGAAACGAAGAACGATTGCCTAATTCCTGCACTTTACACGAAAAGATGGAAAATAAACGAACGTGGGAAAAAAGTACGTGACGGGGTTCTGATGCGTGATAATTTTTCTAACGACTGAATGTCGAATCTCTAGATGACAAATCTTGAAAGTCCTTCGGTTTAAGAATGTATTGTTTGCGTTTATTTTCTACGAACAATAGCGAGTATAAAACCAAGAAAAAAAAACGAAATACCCTGCATTGACGATTATATTTGAGTGCAACGAGCCGTGTACGACGGTCTGGACACGCGAGTGTAATCATAAGGACTCTAAAAAAATATTCACGACGATCGTACTGTTAATTCAGCAGCTCAACTTAAGTAAAGTTCTTATACGATAGGTTAGCCGATAATAAGACTAGAGTAACACAAATCTCGTGATTGAGATATAAGAAAATAAATATAATGATATACATACTTATACTACCGTACGATTTCGTTCGCGTCATAGCGGTAACGAATTACTTTTCGATTCGCCCGCGTAATTTTATTGTATTGTACGAGCCGAGATAAAAAGTGCGTCGTAGTCAAATCTTTGGGAAGACACGGAAGACGAGAGAACTCGGATGCTGGAGAAAACGCGAATTCTAAGCAGCGGAGGAGCCATGGAGCAAATCAAAAAAATCACGTTACTCGCCTAAGAGGACGCTATTCTGTGTAAATAATTTCCTATCTCATCGCGTATATATATATATAATCGCTCTCTTTCGAATCTTGGAAAATATGTATATTATATTCATCGCGCGCAAGCCAAAGACCTCTTCTCTCTCTCTCTCTCTCATCGCGTCGCATAGTAACACAGAGGTGCGTGTAAGCTTCACAAAGCTATCCTTCTGCTCTGTTGCCGTTGCAATCGTCTTAAAATTTTCCTGACGCTTTGCAGAATAAATCAAACGATAATTTATACTGTTATTAAGTCGCAACGAACGATCACCGTAGATATATATTTAGAAGTACACTATCGTGAGTAAAACTTCTGAGCCTTAGAGTTAAAATATACCTCAATATATACTGGACGACAAGTGAATTGTGACAAAATAAAAACATACAGTTTTCTAAGTGTAAGTTTATCGCGATGATAGTGATTATATATTATTCAACTTTATATCGTGATTGAATCACGATCTCGACTCTGTTAATCGCAAAAAGCGAACTACGATCGTTCGGCAACAGAGCCGACGGACCAATATCAAGCGCATCCGTCATACCGCATTTTGTATAACTTGAAAAAACCGCGACGTCTGGCGTACGTCGATCACATCATTACAGTATGCCGTCATCAGAATTGCAGGTTTCAGCTCGGAAAGTTTCGTCGTTAAATAATGTTTAATATACATATAAAGCGCTCTGAAACGCATAAATAATATCTCTTTGCTATTTCGACGATTGCGATTAACTCCTGAGCGAAGGAAATGCAATCATTTCGAGTACGGTCGAATTCGGAAGAGATGACACAACGTATGATATAACGGAACGGAAATGTGATTAGTTTGCATAATTAGCGTACGTAGACGAAAAGGTAGATACGAATAAAGTCCAAAGAATCTTTCTAAAATAGTATGTACCGCTAAAATATATTGCGCAATGAGAAATTAACTTGCATAAATTATTCGTATTTTGCAAGTTGCACTTTTGAAAAGTCTGCGAGATCCGGTGCCACCGTATATATGGTAATATTATTTTATACAGCGTTTCTAAGCGTTTTGTTTTATAGTATGTTTTCGCGATTTAAGCAGAATTGTAAATATTGTTGAAATAGTATTTATGTACGTTTGTCGCATGCATTTATAAATTGCAATTATATTTTTTATCTAGATGTAAAGTGAGCAAGTGCGACACTTTTGTAGTAAACGCGATGAAGTTGTGTCGCGTTTATTACGGAAAGTGTGAGAAAATGATTTCAATTCACAATACCTCGAAAAATGTAATAATTATTATCATCTCGTAAAAAGACTTTTTAAAAAACAATGTACTATATGGATTACATCTGAATGGACCCCGATTTTCCTTGGATTGGTCAAATATACAAGATATTTTTGTGATTAGGAAAAAAGTCTAGACGGATCTATATCAAAATTGACGGGATTTAGGCAACAATGTGCACCAATTACAAAATCAGCGCACTGTCGCTTCCACGCTATAATAAGATCTAGTTGTTCAAACTGAATCTGCGACTGGTCGAGCGATGTGATTCTACGTTTGCGTAGTCGAGTTGCGTACAATTAAGCGATCGTTCAAATTATCACACGCAGCCTAACAACACCATTGGTAAGCGAGTGAAAATTGTGCGTATATTGATCTACTACGCGTTAGATCTGAGACCCAGAGACGTTTTTGAGTTTGACAAAGAAAAGGAACAATTCTGCTCAAGTATCTAAAGATTTAGCTAGATAAAGATGTGAAAATAATCAAGCATGATAATAATACTGCAGAAAGCTTTGACATTTTAACAATTAGACAGTCTAATAAAATTATTTTCAGATCCGCGTCTAAAGTTTTAGATACTTCAGCAAAATGTATAGATAGCACTTCATTACTCGCGTGGGGTGTCCAGAACACCCCCGCCTTATAAATTCCGTTAAATGTCTAAGTACTATTTATACACATTACTTATTATATTTAGCGCAGCTTGTTTCACAATTTAAAATAACATTTTCGCATTTATCTTAATTTATCTAAAGGATGTATACAATATTATCAATCTTTATTTAATTATAAATCATAGAGAACAATGAAATTGATGTATAATATGTTGGAGTGTTAGAACAAAATAAGGCTCGTGTAAGTTTAAACGACTAAAATGAAATTAAGGCCAATAAAGTTGAAGTAAATAAATTCTATTTTATTCTAATTAAGGTCAATAAACAATAAAGCAAAACGATGAAGCGGAGAGATAAAGTTAGCAGCAATAAAACATATCAAATTTATTAAAATCAATAAATAAGATAATATAAAAATGCAAATAGGGCTTATTAATTTTTATAATAAATAAGATGTTTCAACTTTTATGAAGGGCCAAAAACACCTCACACGAGTAACTACATTTTTTAAAAACTACGCGAGTAATGTAAAGTCAATCAATTTCCAAATATTTCGAGGAAAATTCACGGGTCTGAGGTCTACGATCAATTTGTTAAGCGCTTGATCTCGCAACGATCTCCAAAATCCACCAGGATTTTTCTTGAGATGCATCGACACATCGATCCACGAAGAGACGACCCAACGATCCGGGAATTCCCGCGATTCTGGATTCCTCGGATCTTCCCAGATCTCCTAATCTATAATA